ACCTCGGACCCCGTGTGTGTGTGTGTGTGTGTGTGTGTGTGTGTGTGTGTGCATGGAAGCGTGTCTCAGCCCGTCCCGTTGGCCGCAGCCTTGGGTGACTGGAGAGAGTTTCACTCTGACTTCGTGAGGACAGTCACCGGGGACACACAGCCACATGCGTGTTATAACCCCGTATTAGAGTCCCAGGGGCCTTTCCGGTTTTTTCTTGATTCCAGAGAGGAAGAGAGAGAGAGAGACATCCATGATGAGAGAGAATCATGGATCGGCTGCCTCCTGCACGCCCCGCACTGGGGATGGAGCCCGCAACCCGGGCATGTGCCCTGACCGGGAATCGAACCGTGACCTCCTGGTTCATAGGTCAACGCTCAACCACTGAGCCACACCGGCCGGGTCCTTTCTGGTTTTCAGAGTCCCTTTTCGCACATTTTTATTGGATACTCGCAGTAACCATGCAAGACTGTAAGGGCCGTTTTCCTACAGGAGGAGAGAGATGAGCTGCCTCAGGTCAGAGTTACTAACAGGGTTCCCCACGGGCTCTTTGTAAGAATACGAGACCCACTACGGTGAGTTGGGGGAGAAGAAAACAGCTCTGGCTTCCCCTTTTACTTTTTTATCTTTTCTTAATTTATTTTTTTAAATTCCAGAGAGGAAGGGAAAGGGAGAGAGAGAGAAACATCCATGATGAGAGAGAATCATGGATCGGCTGCCTCCTGCACACCCCACACTGGGGACCAGGTCCACAACCCGGGCTTGTGCCCTGACAGGGAATCGAACCGTGACCTCCTGGTTCATAGGTCAACGCTCAACCACTGAGCCACACCGGCCGGGCAGCCCTCCGCCACGTTAGGACACAGAGCCCCAGCTCCCCAGTCTGAAGACTCACAGGTGGTTAGCTCATCGGGGTCTTGGTCCACCTCTCGGATGCCGTCGGCCTCAGAGGCAGGCCTGCCCCACAGCGTCCTTCCACGTTGCCGTGGAGATCAGCTCATTTTCCATCCAGGCGAGAGTTCAGATATTTTTTTTTTTTTTTTTGAGAGTTCAGATATTGACGGCCTTGTCGTCTCGAGGGAATTTAGAACTAAATTAAGGATTAAAAAAAAAACACGTGTGTGTGCCCAGCTTTTCAAGTCTTCATTTTACTGGGCAAGAAGTTACCAGCATGACCGCGGCCGTACCAGACCCTCGGAAAGGGGAGTGAACGTGACCCGCAGCCCCTGCTGTCCTCCGGCACACGCCTCCTCTGCCGACTTCCGATCAGGCACACTTTCTGCTCAGCTCCCCAAGAGAAAGTAGGAAAGTCCCGGCCGCCAGCCCCCCACCTCCTGTCCCCCTCCCCCCCCCAAAAAAATTTCTATGTTGGGCGTCTCTCACTGGCTCTGGGGCAGTCAGGTCTGCTTGGCACGGACGTGGCTCTTTAGATGTAAGATTTATTGTTTCTTTTAAAGAAACTCCCCCAGCCTGCCTCCCTCTCTTGGCTCACAGTGAGGACTTAGGCTCCAGATGCACTTACAGACACACACGCATACTCCCTCTGACCTCATGGGCCGGAACCTATTCCTTGGTCTTTTACTTACAAAATGGGGGTGCCTCCTCCGTGTCCTGACCGCCACTTCCTTCGGACCGCAGAGGAATTTTAATGGCGGTGACGTGCCTTCGGAGGAATGCCTCCCCGGCCTGGAGGCTTCGCAGGGCTCCTGGGAGACCCGGGCTTCCCACGGAGAAAAGGGAAAGGAGAGAATAGGGCGTGATTGGATCGGTTAAGCTGACTACGATGTGAGCATGAAAAAAAAGCTGCCTCCTCCCTTTTCTGATTCTCCCAGGGCTGGGTACGCGCGATGGAGGCATCTGCTGGGCCCAGCAGGCCCACTGTGCGCCCACGCGCACCCACTGTGCGCCCGCTGTGCGGGGAGGGACGAACTGCTGGGGCGGCGGCCTCTTAACATCACAGACCCAGTTCTAGGGGCGACGCTCTCCGGCGATTTGTTTACAGTTGAGCCCTGCAGATTCTTCCTTCGTCTGACAGCTAATTCCTGAAACGGGGAGAAAATACCGTCCTATCAGCCTGCTTGTCTTTGAAGACTTAGCCTCGGGAGCTGGGATGAAGGACGGCATTAATCCCAGGATGAGTTTCCCCCCCGACCGGTATATCATGCCGTTCCCTCGGGATTCATTCAGTCGCGCCGTGCATGCACCGAAAATAAAAGAGGCCCGTGCTGTGGCTCGGACCTTTTTAATTGCTTTTTAATTGCACTGATTTTCTTGCTCATTTGCAAGATCTCCTCGGAAGAGGTTTTTTCATCCAGGAAGGAAAACCAGTGTCTGTCGGCCATTTCCCCGTAAGCGCGCTGGTCGCATGGACCCACTGGTCCCTGTCCGCAGCTGCCTCAGCCTCCCCCTCGGTCCTAACTGCTTAATGCTTGTAGCCATGGCCGCGCTCTGGAGATTTTAATGCATCTCCTTCCCTCTCCCGTGGATTTCCCATTACACAGGGACACCTTTGCCTGGCCGGTGTGGCCCAATGGTTGAGCGTCAGCCTAGGAACCAGGAGGTCACGGTTCGATTCCCGGTCAGGGCACAGGCCCGGGTTGCGGGCTCCACCCCCAGTGTGGGGCCTGCAGGAGGCAGCTGATCCATGATTCTCTCTATATATTGATGTTTTTCTCTTCCTCTCCCTCCCTCTCTGAAATCAATACAGATACATTTAAAATAAACACACACTTCCGGGACCATGTTTCTGTTTCCTCGTGTCTCGCTGTGACCGCATCTCAGGGTAGCCAGAGCTGCCTGCAGACGCCAGGTGCATCCGGGCGGTCCCTCTTGGCGGGTCGACCC